ACACACAGATATATATGTGTATGTATGTGCATATATTGTTTAGGAAGTGGATGCCTCTTTTGCTTCCAAACACACACACACACACACACACACACACCCTCTGAGGGTTCTACTAACTAAGATCATGGCATAGGGGAGGTTAGTAAACGGGATAGGATGAGTAGAGGCATGAGAGGGGTCCAGGTGAGTGGACAAAAACTTAAGAAGATCATTACAACAGGTGATTTTTCATTCCCATCAGACTGAAAAAGAGAAACTCATCTAAAACAGAACTTTCTGTTTTTGCTAACAACCGTTTCCTATGGTGAAACACAACAGAGAGAAGGGACTTGACAATTTACATGTACATGTCATTTACATGGACTGATGACTATTCTCCCAGCTCCTAATGTGGTTCTTACCGAGAGCTTTGTCTGCCAGGGCACATCAGGCAGAGTGCAACAGACATTTTTGGTTGTCACAATGGCATGGATGCTTCTGGCAGCAAATGGGTAGAGCTGAGGGTCGCAGCTAAGCTTTTTAGGGTGCACAGTAGAGCAGTAGAGCCCTTTACAAAAAGGAATTTAATTGGTCCAAATGTTACTAGTTAAGAAATTCTAAGTCTACAACAGAAAAGAAATGAGTACCAATTCAAGATTAATTGGAAAGGAACATTTTCTTACATGATGAGACAGTGGGAACTCTCCTAAAAATATTTTATGGATTCATAATGGGAAAAGAAAGTGTGCCGAAAAATACCAGTTCAGAAATTTTCCTTAAAAAAAAAAATCTTACCAACATTAGCACACTTGAAAAGTAGAAAGGACAATCACAAAAGTAAATATTGTTATGTTTCTACCTCCAAGAGATTTACTAAAGTCTGTCACTAAAATAACCAGAAATATTAAAAGGAAAAATTATCGTTTAGACTTTATACATTGGGAAAAGAATAGCCATTGTGTTTTTAGGAGTTACTTAATGGCAATGAGATTGTTAAACGAAATCATTTCTCTGATTGATCTAAAAGTGTTTCGGTTCATCCTTTATTTTGTAGCTTTGCTGAGGAAGAAAAATGTAAAAAATGAAAAGAAGTTTTCACACATTGCTAATATCATGATTCAGTAAACATATACAAAATAGAACAGGAATCATTTCATATGAGCTCAGACCCAGTGAGATGCAGTGTCTAAAGTGACAGCAACTCAGAGCCTCATTCAGAGGAATTTGACGGGAAAGCACTTCGTTTATAAATGCAGCTTTGGCTCTGAAGATCTCTGGCTCTGTGGCTGAAAGGCAATGTTAAGCATAAATATACCCCTATCACTGAGACATCTGTCAGCTACCCACTGCAGAGGCTCAAAGAGGTGAGCAGCCTGGAAAAACATAAAAAAAAGACATAAGGGTAAGTAAGACACAACAGTGAAGGCAGAAATCAAGTGACTACAATTATGTCCTCATAATGTAGGGCACTTTCTTCTAATTAAGCACTGTCAGGCCCTTAATCAAAACAAAAGACATCTATGGAAGTATTGCAAAACTAAGAAAGAGTAGACTAAGAAGAATAGACAAAAATTCAGGTTACATGCTTACATTTCGTTAAAAAAAAAAGGTGGGAGGATGTTATACATTAGCCAAAAGTTTTTTGAAAGAAATATTTGAGAAGGAAAAAAGAATGGCATTTTGGTTCCTTAATCAATTCATCTAACGGAAAGTATTTGTTCAGTGTTTTTGACACATAAAGGGCACTTAAGATTCCAGCAAAATAAGAAAGAATTAAGGCAGCATCTAAGCTCAATATGCACTGACTAACAATTGGATGCAGAGAAATGTACTGAGCTCACAATTGGATATTGAACAGTTATGACTTTAACGATATTAGTGTTTCAGAATTTTACATTTCCTCAATTATTCTTTGTTTCTAGGGACTACCAATAGCCCACTTAATTCTAGAGAATCAAAGGAAATACTCTTCACATGATTTTGGTACAAAAGGCAAGTTTGTGCTTGATCCAAACCTACTGAGCTCAGATGAATGAGCATGAATGAGCATCACGTGTACTGTTGACTAAGTATAGAAAAAGGAGGAGGATCCATTACTGCCAGATATGGTTGGAAATGGTTAATGTCCTTTGGAATAGGCTGCAAAACAGAAGATACAAAAGTTTTGAGGTGCTGCTGCTATATTAGTCTTTCTTACATTTGGATTGTAGAAGGTGATTTTGCGTTTGCTTGCTGGCTCTTTGTAAAACCAGTGCTTTTTCTCGCAGGCCGTACAGCTCATCTGCAGGGAGCCTCTCCGCTTGGTGACTGGCACTGGCCACTCCTGCACTTTCCTGCGCACATCCATAAGCACGCCATCTGTGGGGCCAGCCACTCCTTGAACATTATATCTTTGTGTACCAATTCATGGAGCGCTTCACCGCTCTAATCCAGTTTTCCATACTCATTTCATACTCTTGCCATTTCTTCTGTGGCTTGAAAACCCTTTCACTTTGCCTCAGTTTCTTCAGTTCCTCTTTGTCAGTCCAAAACCCTACCAAAAAAAAAGTATTAGAAGTATCTCTAACGTTAAAGCAAATAATGAGTTTTTTTAGTTTGTCCACAACTCTTGTGTGAATCGGTGCAAAAGTGAACAGTTACTATTTTAAAGCACAATCCAAATTATTTGTTTACTTTTGCATTTTGTAAGATTGATCATGCCTGTGAATAAATAAACCAAGATTATAAAAGCTTTACTCTTTTGCTTTCTTTCAGCTTTCCTCTTCTGTAAAAAGACACTGGATGGCATCTACAGTAACCACTCTGCCATCATTTAATTTAATGACTGATCACACATTCAAATTTTTTAAAAAACCAAACAAAACAGAAAACAACAACAACAAACCAACACAACAACAAAAACCTTAAGTAAGATATACAAATTTTCTTTTTACACAACTAAAATAAAATATAAGGTTTTTGTCATACTCTTTAAGGTAAATGATTAACAACTCATCACTCTGTTGTTGTTAGGTACTGTCAGGTGCCCTACAACCTGTGTTACTGTTGTTGTTATGTGCCGTCTACTCGCCTGTGACCCTATGTTCAAAAGCTCTGAACCCTGCTCTGTCCTGAGCCAGGCTCACTGGCTCTGACACACTTGCCTCTAATACCCCAGTTACTGTGTCAATTCATCTCATCGACAACGAGCCTATAAACAAAACATCTAAACCTTGCCCTGTACTGCACCATCCTCATGGCTGACAGACCAGTGCTTAAGCCCAATGTCGTAATAACTGTGTCAGTCTATCTCATGAGGTCTTCCTCTCTTTGTTGTACAATCACTCCCCAACCCAGTCCACTTTACTATGCAGCTGTCATTCTGAACTGTTGTTTTTTTTTATTTTTTTTTCTATAATTATATTTTATTAATTTTCATAAACATTTACAGAGATTTTGGGCTTCCACTCATTCATTGTTGCACTATTCTCTCTACCCTCCTCCCAGCTTGTTCTTGTCCAAATGCCACAGTGCTTGTCAAAGCCAGTTCTGATTAATCTTCTTTGTCAGTGTATCCTTTGCCATTCCCTATCACTCCTCCCTGAGAGAGACTTCACCCTGAGTCATAAGGAAAAGGGGATGGCGTATTCTCTTAGCTACTTCCTGCTGAAAAGGGACGCTGTGGGTTTCAGGGTGAAGATCTTCTCTCACTACTCTAAAGGGCCCCTTTGGCAGTAGGAAACACATAGACTATTATGGACATTGATTTTGGAATATTCTGAACTGTTGTCATGCAAATAATGCCCAGTCATAAATTCCTTTTAAGCAATTCTATTCCTCATCTGTTTCAATGCACAGTACATTATTATTCCCTCTTAGTTTCCCCACAACACTCATGTCAGTCCTGTTTTATAACCATGGCATTATGCAGTATTTGTCTTTTTGTGACTGAGATACTTTATTCAGCCTAATGTCCTCCAGGGTCATCCATTTCGCATAATATTTCATGAGTTCCTTGTTTTTCAATGCTGCATAATATTCCTTTGTGTATCCACATTGTGTATACCACAGCTACTCTATCAATTTGTTTGTTGATGGGCACTTGGGTTGTTTCCATCTGTTTGCTCTTGTGAACAATGCAGCAACAAACATGGGTGTGCATCTACAACCAGGAGAGGATAAAATGGATGAATGTCACCTTCTAAGAATCAAATCCCCATGCATATCCAAAATCTTCTTCAACAGGGTAAAAAGGAAAGTCACAGACTGGAAACAAATACTTGGTAAAGACATGTCAGACAAGGGACTTATATCTAGAATTTATAAAATACACTGGCACCACAACAAGATAAAGGTAAATAATCCAATTAAAAATGGGCACAGGATATGAACAGACACTTCATCAAAGAAGACATTCAGATGGCAAACACATGAAGAAATGTTCCAAATACCTAGCTCTAAGAGAGATGCAAATCAAAACAACTATGAGATATTATCTCATCCCAGTAAGAATAGTAAAATTTAACAGAACAGCAAACATCAAATGCTGGCGAGGTTGTGGAGAAACTGGAACACTTGTTCACGGTTGTTGGGAGTGTAAAATGGTGCAACCACTATGGAAGGCTTTATGGTGCTTTCTCAAAAAGTTGCAAATAGAGATACCATTCGACCCAGCAATTCTACTACTGGGAATTTACCCTAAAGAAACCATAACCGCCACCCAAGCAGATATATGCACATGTTTATTGTGGCTTTGTTCACAACAGCAAAGAGTTGGAAACAACCCAAGTGCACATCAACAAACAAACTGATAGAAATGCTCTGGTATATTCACACAATTGAAATCTACGCTGCTTTGAAATCAAGGAAATCATGAAATATTATGCAAAATGGAAGGACATTATACTGAGTGAAATATCTCAGTAACAACAGGACTGACATTGGGGCTGAGGTAAGACAGAGAGGGAGGGGAGGAATGATGTATGCTGCATTGAAACAGATGAGGGAGAGAACTGTTTAAAAGGGATATATGATTGGGTATTATTCTCATGACAGGAGTCCAGAATTAAGGCTGCACAGTAGAGTGGACTTGGGGAGAGGGAATGCATAACAATGAGAGTTTTTCTTTTACTTTTCAAGGAGAAGAGTGAATTGTGGGGAGGGGGTGGGCAGGGAGAAAAGTGCAACAATGAATGATTGGAAACCCTAAGTTTCTGTAAACTTTCATTAAAATTAGTAATAATATTTTGACAGCACACACAAAAAATAATAAAATAAAAATTTACAAAAAAAGTAAAATTAATAATAATTTAAAAAAAACCCATGAGCGTACAATATTTGTTTGTTCTTTTGGCCGTCCATGGGGCATACTATGTCAGTTGTAGGCTGGGAGCCTCTTTTTTAAAACAATTAGGACGTGGTGGGTGGGTCTTTTTAATTTGATTAACACTCCGTCTAGATGACTCCAACTCATAATAACTTTCCACATGGTTTACAAGACTATAAATCTTAATGGAAGGAGAATCTTCATCTATTTTTCACAGAGCAGCTACGAGGTTTGAAACACCAAACGTTTGCTTAGCAGCCCAATACACAATCAGGACTAGGATATTAAATCAAATCGTATAAAACTCTAGTGGCCTAGTGGATAAGAAGTTGTGCTGCCTACACAAAGGCATGCAGTTCAAATTCACCAGATGCTATGAGGAAGAAAGATGGGCAATTTCCTCCTGTGTGATTTGCAGCCTCAGAAAGCCTGGATAATCTATGAGTTGGTTCTGATTCAAAGGCAGTGAGTAGAGTTTGAGTTGAACAGAAAAGGATGCTTGGAATGAATATGAATTTCAGTTTTAAACTATACCATTTTTATACCACTTATTTAATTTCTAAAGGAGCCCTGGTGGCATAATGGTCAGGCATTTAGCAGCTAACAGAAGGGTTGGTGGTTCAAACTCTCCCATTAGTGATTCGTCTGTCTGCTCCCACCAGAGGGCAGGAACTGCGTCTTTTATCCTCCTTCTTTCCAGCAGTAACTGTCCCGTAAAAGGTGATCATAAATATCACCAGAGCTCGAAGCTCCATCTCACATACTTTGGGTACCTGGCCAGCAGGGACCAGTCCCTGGAGAAGGATATCATGATTGGAAGGGTGGAGGAACAGTGCAGGAAAGGAAGACCCCAAAAGAGATGGACTGACTCAGTGAGTAGGATAATGAGGTTAGGGGTGTCAGAGTCAGTGAGATTGGCTCAGGATAGAGCAGAGTTCAGAGCTATTATATATAGGTTTGCTATGAGTCACAGGCGACACAGCAGCACATAACAACAGAGTGTTTCTACTCACACAACTATCCAGAAAGCTTATCGAGGGATCCTCCTTTAGTAGAGATCAAAGAAACTGTGAATTAGTTGGTCTTGCCTCATATTTCCGCTGACTAAATGAGTGACCGTGGCCTCTCAGGACCATGATCTTTCCAATCACTCGTCATGCATCTGAGATTGTGATGAATAAGGATGAATGAGTAAGGATGATAAAAGAAGAATGAATGCCTTTGAGCTGGAGTGGTAGAGAAGTGTGCTGAACATCCCATTGGCGGCCAAGGAAATGAACAGATATGTCTGGGAGACAGTGCAGCCAGAGTGCTTTTTTGGAGGCAAAGATGATGACGCTTCGCCTAACATATTTTGGGTGTGTTGCTAAGAGTGGCTATTCTTTGGAAAGAGAAATGATGCTGGGAAGGGTGGAGGGTCAGTGAAGGTGAGGAAGACACTTGAACAGGTGGTGACACAGTGACGGATGCAGTGGATTCTAGTGTGTCAGGAAGAGTGAGGATGGCACAGGATGGGATGGAGTTCAGATCTGTTGTTCACAGGGTCACTGTGGGTCATACTCAACTCGACGAAACCTAACAAAAACAACAATGAGTGATGGGAGGACAGAAGAAGGACAAGCAGACCAATTAGAAGGAGGTGTTCACATATGGGTTGGTGGATAGCTTTCAGACTAAGAAAGCCTAGGAAAGAAGGCCTGGAAACCCACTTCTGAAAACCATATGGATCACAGCAGAGGTCTGTTCATTATAGTGTTGCAGATGATCCCATGGGCTGGAAGGCACTCAAAATCCACAGGGGCTGTTCCGAAAGCAAGTAAAGACAGCATAGAACTGGGGAGTGTTACGTTCTGCTCCTCCCCGGGTCACCACGGGTCAGAGCTGACTCAACAGCAACTGACATCAACCACCACCACCAACTGCTTCAGATTTGTGGTTGTTAGATGCCTTCAACTGATTTCAACTCATAGCATCTCGATGAACCTCAGACGTGAACCTGCCCTGTCCTGCACCATCCTCAGCATGTGACATGCTTAAGCCCATGATGTCCTCTCTTTCTCTGACTGTCCGCCTTCCCTAGCACAATGTCTTTTCCCAAGGAATGGCCTCTGCTGACAACAAGGCTGACGTATGTAAGAGGATATTTCAACATCCCTGCCTCTAAGGAGCATCCAGGTTGCACTTTCTCGAGGACAGATTTGCGTGTTCTTTTGGCAGCCCATGGATATCTAATACTCTTCTCCAACACTGTAATTCAAAGGCACCAATTCTTCTTTTGTCATGCTATTCATAGTCCAACTTTCCAAAGCATTGGAAGCAAGTGAAAAATCAATGAATTAGATCATGCACACCTTAGTCTTTAAACTGACATTCTTGCTCTTTAGCACACTCTGGAGAGGTATTTGACAGCAGAGTTTTCCACTGCAACAAGTCTTCTGATTTCTTGACTACTTCAATCTAGTGGTGAGGATTGTTCTTTTCTAGACATTGAGATTGTAATCCATATTGAAGGTTATATAGTCTTGGATCTTCTGCAGTTAAGTGCTTCAAGTCTCCTTCACTTTCAGCAAGCAAAGTTGTGTCATCTGCATAATGCAGGGTGATGATGAGTCTTCCTCCAATTCTGCTGCCACATTCTTCTTTGCTTAGCTCTGTTTATAGAATAATTGGTTCAGCAAACAGACTGAACAAGTATGGAGAAAGGAAAGACCAAATAAATGTCAGAAGAGACTGTGAAAATTGCATTAGAACATAGAACAAAGGGAAGAAATGCTGATGTAAGAGAGATGAATAGAGGATTTCAAAGGGTCACTCTAAAGGACACAGTAACGAAATGTGCAAAGAGTTGGAGTTAGCAAACAAAAAGGGAAAAAAACATGCTCAGCACTTCTCAAGATGAAAGAACTGAAGAACAAATGCAAGACTTGAGTTGCAATAATGAATGAATCTATGGAACAAATCTTGAATGGTATGGGAAGAATCTAAAGAAGATGGAAAAAATACCAGAGCCATTGTACCAAAAAGAACTGGCCCACACGGAAACATTTCAGGAAGAAGCATATGATCAAGAAGCAGTGGTACTGAAGGAAGAAGTTCAAGCTGCACTGAAGGCAGTGGTAAAAAAATAAGGCCCCAGGGATTGATGGAATACCAACTGAAATGTTGAAATAACCACATGCAGCCCTGGACCTGCTCACCACATCATTCCAAGAAATTTGGAAGACAGCTACCAGGCCAGGTGACTGGAAGAGATCCCATTCCCATAAAAAGTGAGGTGGAAATTATAGAACAATATCATTTTATCACACGCAAGTAGAATCTTGCTGCAGATTACTTAAAAAACAGCTTGAATGGTACACTGGTAAGGGACTGCCTAAAGTCAAATGGATTCAGAACTGTCTGCAGCATGAGAGTAACAATTGGGGATAGTAGACGAATTTTTAACTGAAAGCACAAAATACTAGAAATGTTTACTTGTGTTTTTTTAACTATACAAAGGAGTGTGACTGTGTGGATCATAAAAAATTATGGCTAACAATGAGAAGAATGAAAATCCCAGAACATTTAATAGTGCTTGTGGGAACCTTGTACTGAGACCAAGAAATTGTTTTCTGAACAGAATAAGGGAGCACTGTGTGGTTTAAAATCAGCAAAGTTGTGCATCAGAGTTGAAGCCTTTCTCCATACATATTTGATTGGTATACTGTAGATTAAAGGGCAGCAATACTTTTTTTATAACGAGATCTGGGTAAGAAACGACATCTGTAAGAAATAATTTACAAGAAGGCTCTTGTTTTTAAAAAAATCCACACATACCAACAGCAAGGCCTGCTAGAAACGCAGCTCCTCGGCAGGACATGTCCGTGTGAACCGGTCTCTCTATGTTCTGATTGATCAAATCCGAGGTCATTTGCATCACGAAGCTGTTCTTACACACCCCTCCATCTGCCCTGTGGAAGCAAGAAAGGGAACAGAAATCAATGCCACAAATCATGAACATGACAGTTACAATTCTGAAAGAAAGTTGTACGTATTTCTTCATCCTGGCTTTGAGAGTTGAATTGTGTACTTCCAACAGCCTGTCACTTAGTGTTAACCTACAGACAGTTCTTACTGGGGTACTCTCTACACATTTCTCTTGATTACTAATAATCATCTCATTTGTCCTGTTCTGTAACTAGTTCAAAACTGGCTAAATATAATACAGCAAGATGATGTAAAAGTTCACTCAATGAAGGAAAAAATAAAAACCCAATATATGAGTAGAACTTGCCACCACTGACTAGTAAAATACACTACAATGTTGGGTTGATAGTAGACTTGTAGCTTGGTATTTTCAGGGAACTGATTCAATGCTCCAGTCACTTAAGTAAAATGTGTTCATATATTTTCAATTTCTCTACATGACTTATACTAATACAATGTAAATGTTATAAAACCTAGTGTCAACATACTCCCTCTTAGTTCCTGGGGGCAGGGAAGTTCAATCAAACTTTCCAGAAAAGAAGTAATAATCACACTTCAAAAAAAGGAGGGAAATATGTATTTTAAAAATCAACATGGTCATATGCCACTACATTGTCATATTCCATAAAGTGTTATATTATCCATAAATCTGAAATGATATTTTTTTCTTCCCAAAAACCTAGGACAAAGACTTTTACTGCAAAGAAGCAAGGTATGTATGGTCTTTGAAACCATAAATGATTGTTACAGCAAAGGAGTTAATAATAGCAGCTAAACAGAAATCAAAAGACGTATCATGATGGGAAAGTCTGCTGTTAGGGACCACTCCAAAGTACTCAAGAGCAACTGTGTCTCTCTGGAGACTAAGGTGCGCCTGATACAGGCCATGGTCTTTGCAATCACTTGTTATGTATCAGAGAGTTGGACAATGACTAAGGAAGATAGAAGGAGAATTGAAGCCTTTGAGCTGTGGTGCTGGAGAAAAGTATTGAATGTACCCTGGACTGCCAAGAAAACAAACAGATTCATCCTGGAGAGGGTTAAACCAGGCTACTCCTTGGAGGCAAGGATTCTGGGGCTTCGTCTGACATACTTAGGACATGTTGTAAGGAGAGACAGGTTCTTGGAGAGGGACATCATGCTTGGTAAAGTGGAGGGACAGCGCAGGAGAGGAAGACCCTCTATGAGGTGGATTGATTCAGTGACTGGGGTAATCGGGATGGGTGTGTCAGAGGCAGTGCGATTGGCACAGGATAGAGCAGGGTTTAGGGCTGTTGTACACAGGGTCGCTATGAGTCGCAAACGACTCGACAGCACACAACAACAACAACAACAACAACAACAACAACAACCACTTACTGAATGCCTTGCATGTTCACTCCTTTTACCAAGTTCTCCCAGTTATCGCGCTCACCCTGCCAACAAGGAACCATACTCCATCTCATAGGAAGCAAGGCTGAGGTCAAGGTCAAGGACAAACCCTGACTCCAAATTATTATTTTTTTATAAACTGAGGGATATTGTTTACTTTCCCAAATCGTAAGTCTTCTAATGGTTGTAGAAAAACAAAACTTAAAAATATTGTATCTAGTGACCAAGAATTAATTAAAAAACAAATGTTCTATGTAAGAATTTACATTTAGAAATTGAAAGTGTAACCTCCAATTCAATATCTTCAAAACAAACTGCATCTTAAATGTAAGTATATATAAATGTTATTTAGGGAGTTCTGGTGGCCTAATGATAAGAAGCTCTGTTGCAATCCCAAAAGCATGCAGTTCGAGGCTACCAGTGCTCTGAAGGAGAAGGATGGGCAGTCTCCTCCCATGTGATAAACTGCCTCTGAAAACTGCTGGAGTGTCTGCTATATGTAGGTTCTGACTCTGGTACACAACAACATATATATGTATGTATGTATGTATGTACACACACGTGTGTGTATATATGTATTTATATATATATACACACACACACACATATATATGGATATTAAACAGTGGCCATCCAACTGATTCCAACTCATAGCATGCCAGAGTAGAACCATGCTCTGTAAAGTTTTCATTGGCTGATTTTTCACAAGTAAATCCCCAGGACTTTCATCTGAGTCCTATCTCAGGGGGACTCAAACTGTCAACCTTAAGTTAAAAACTAACTGTAGTCACTATTGTACCATCCAGAGACAAAAAGCATAAATACACATAGATAGACATACATACCAGATTTTTGTTACAGGAATACGGATCTCCTTCTGCATGATCTCATACAACTGTTTATTTCTAGTTGGAAAAATAAGATAACTAATTAGAGAAATTCAGACCACATTAATACTTTCTTTGCTGCGGATGTAGGAAAAGAAAAACTGTGCTGTTATTTACATGACATTTTTAAATGATGCAAAAGAAGATATTAAGGGAATAAATAAATTATGCTAACTGGAAGTTGTTTAATAGATGCCTGAATATTCAGGAAGCTCAGGTCCTATACATTTTGCCTTAAAAAAAAGCCCAATTTTTATTTTAGAACCAAATTGACTCTACTTCTATACAAAGAAGTTCATCCTAGAGAGGGTGAAACCAGGCTGTTCCATGGAAGCAAGGAATCTGAACCTTCGTCTGACATATTTCGGACATGTTGCAAGGAGGGACCAGTCCTTGGAGAGGGACATCATGTTGGGGAGGGTGGAGGGACAGCACAGGAGGGGAAGACCCTTGATGAGGTGGATGGACTCAGTGACTGGGGTCATGGGAGTAGGTGTGTCAGAGACAATAAGGTTGGCACAGGATAGAGCAGGGTTCAGGGCTGTTGAACATAGGGTCACTATGAGTCACAGGCAACTTGACAGCACATAACAACAACAATTCTTACAAATAAAATTTTAGAACAATAGTACATTTACTAGATAGCTGTTGAGCTAATGTACCACACAACAGCTGATGGAACTCAGGAAATGTAAAAAGTAATCATTTGTAATCAGAAAAAAATTTTACTTTAAAATCACAAATATTCCACATTCACGGAATTCATGTTCTTAACTTTCATCATCCACACCTGCCTCATCACAGAAAGGTCACAGGTAAGTATAAAAAGAATTTACATCACTAGAGCAGGAGATGTTAGTGGATGGATTAGGAGGGGAAGCAGGTGTGCCATCCACTTCCAAAAAAAGCTTACCTCCAGGCTTGCCTCCAGGCTATGAACTTGGAGAAAAGATGAACGTTTCGTGTTCAAGGTGTTCAAGACTTTAATTCATGGGGTCCCTATGGGTCATATACAACTCGACGGCCCTTAACCACAACAATAACAACAACAACAGAGAAGGAATATGAGCTCTGGTGGCCTAGTAGCAAGAAGCTGTGCTACAATCCTGAAGGCACTCAGTTCGAGGCCACCAGCTGCTCTGTGGCAGAAAGATGGGCAATCTCCTCCCATGTGATTAACTGTCTCTGAAAACCTGCCAGAGGGTCAGCTATGGGTCAGTTCCAACTCAGTGGTACACAATAACAACAGTGAAGGAATAGGCAAGGTACAACGTAGACTTAATGAGACAGGGAGATAAAAAGTATGTAACGATCATAGTTAATTAGAGAAAACACAATGTATATGATTTTATGCAAACAAATAAAAAACAGAACCATAAATAAAATTCTATGTAGCTGTTAAAAAAATCTAGCTAATTCAATATTACATGTTTTAATTCTTCCACTAAAAAAAATACACTCAAACTTTTAGAAACCCAAATTTTGATGCTTAAGAAATTAATATTTTTTTAAAGAAATCATTCAATTATCAGGTATAACTACTATGGAAAGTAGCCTGGTTCTTTTTCAAAATGCTGCAAATAGAAATACCATGAGTAGGAAATTCCATTACTGGGAACATACCCTAAAGAAACTAGAGCCACGATTCTTTGTACACTCAAATTTATTGCTACATTTATTCACAATAGCAAAGAGATGGAAGCATCTCAAGTGTCCATTAACAAACAAATGGATAGAAAAATTATGGTACAATTGCACTATGGAATATTATACAGCAATGAAAAACAATTACACTACATGGGTGAACCTGGAAGAAATGCAGAAGTGGGGGGGGTGGGTGAAATATCAATTACCAAAGGACAAATACTACAATACACTGCTACTACAAAATAGGACCAACATGGGAAATTGGGGCGAGAATAGGTAAAGAGTGGATAGATAATTAACACTGAGCTGGAACAGAAGAAGGGAGGAACCATCTGAAAGGAATATCAAATTAAGCATCTGTATTTATGACAATAATCTGGAGCAAGAGGTGCATTGCAAAGGAGACTGGGGAAGAGGGACTAGAGGGGGAGGGAAGAAAATGTGCAACAATGAATGAATACCCAACCTTTCTATAAACTCTCTTTAAAATCACAATTTTAAAAAGATAAAAATATGTATGTAAAAAAATCATTCCAGAGGGAGCCCTGGTAGGCTAGTGGCAAGAAGCTATGCTGCAATACCAAAGATGTGTGGTTCAAATCCACCAGATGCTCTGCTGGAGAAGGAGAGACAATCTCCTCCAGTCAGATCCGATTTAATGGTACCCAACAACAACAACAAAAGCATGCCATTTTCACACATTAGACTTGAGTAGTACTAGAAGAAATAAATATGAAAAAAATTCCAAAGCATTAGCAAGAAGGACAGGCTGCATTACACGTAATAATAATTAAACAATAAACCTTTGTTAAGAAGTTTCTGATTTTGTAGAAATTCAGTAAAAGAATATGACATACAGATGAAAAGGCAGTAGGGCAGGTTTTGGTACCTGAAAGCTATTGACTCCAATATTGCTCGTACGAGATGGTGCTTGCTGGTGGAAGGCTTCAAACCCATGAAGGAGGCACATGCTTGAGGGTCATTCAATGGAGCCTACAGTAAGTGATAATGAGGTTAAACTCTTACTGTTCTAAGTGATATATATAGTCTTGAAGAATTATTATACTTTACAAATATAGTCATTGAGAAGAAAATGATTTTTTTAGTTAAATAATACATGCCAGTATAAAGATTATGTTAAACATTAAGACAACTTTGTAACAGATTTTAAGCAAAGCTAAGTCAATGCTGTTAAGACTTGGCTATAACTTCTGTTTGAGCTAATACCAAGAAAAGGGATTGACGCCCACATTGTCATTATGTGCCATCAAGTCAGTTTCCGCTCAGCAATCCAAATCTGTGCTAAGGTTAAGTACACTTGTCAGTCCACCCCACCGAAGGTCTTCCTTTTTGTTCGTTGACTCTTTACCAACCATGATGTCTTTCTTCTGAAAGGACATCTCTCTCTCTAATGTAAAGATTTTATTTACAAAGCTCCCATGTTGTACAGAAAGTAAAAATGCTGTTGTAATTCAGAGTAACTGGTAGTCACAAACAGTTGAGACTCGCCAATCACAGCTACCAACGCTACAGCAAAAAAATTTTTTTTACACACACACAAAAAAATTTTTTTTACACAAAAGCCTAACAACGCTTACAATTTTGTTGGGGCAATGTCCCCACACTTGGTGGTGGAGTTCCAAGAAGGACTAAGCAGGAAGGTGGAATGGCACAGGAACTAGTCTTTGGCTCTTTGGTTGGGTGATGTCCTAGGGTTTGTATCACAGTTACTTTTTATTTCTTTTTAAGCAGCTATCTAATCCTTAATGAGCAGTCCAACAAACACTGAACAGGTTTTTTTGTGAGTCGTCTGGAGTCTTAATCATCTTCTCCTTCATCATCTATTTCTCGCTTCCTTTTCTCACCTTGCCAACCTTCTTCCTCACCTTCATCTTCATCTTCATCCTCATCTTCTTCATCAACTTCAACATCGTGGCCAAATTCTTCTTCCTCCCCGCTGACTTCATCATCTTTTTTTTAAATCTTTTCATCACAACCCTTTTATTTTTCCCCCAATTTTTATTAATTTTAATAAACATTTACAGAAATTTTGGATTTCCATTAATTCATTGCTGCACTTTTCTCCCTGCCCACCCCTCTCCACCAGTTTGCTCCTCTCTTTGAAAAGAAAAAGAAAACAAACAAAAATTCCTTCATTGGTATACAATTCCCCCATCCCTCCCCCACCCTCCACACTGAGTACACTTCTCTGTGCAACCTTAATTCTGGACTCCTGTGCTAACCATAATACTCAATCATATATCGCCTCTAATCTGTTCTTTCCCTCATCTGTTTCAATACAGTATACATAATTTATCCAGTTTTTTCTCAGTCTTACCCCAACCCTGATGTCAGTCCCATTCTATAACAGTGACACCATGC